TGGCTTTATTTTTCTCATATGTAAAATAGAGAAAATAAAACTCATCTCAGAGGGCTCGTGTGAGGATAAAATGAGATGATGGATCCTCAGGGCCTCTGACAGGGTCCCATCTGGACCGGCACTATGTAGGTGCTCATTAAATGGCAACAGTGGTTATTGTTTATTGTGGTTATTGCTCCCTCACCTCTGACACTCACAGGGAGTCCTATTGCTAGAAGAGTAGAATGGAAAATGGGCTAGAAAAGAAAGGAGAACTGGGGCACACTGGGCAAGGGAACTCAGGTGGAGGAAAACAGCAAAATCCAGTTGCTGCTTTAGGCATCTGGATGACTTGGAAAATTCTTAGCAAGGCATGATTAGCCTCTCATCTGCCACAGCTGAGCCACATGTAGCCTAGTCCATGAAGCTAAATTACACAGTCCTTAGGCCCCAGGATCGAGGAAGGAGATTATCATAGAAGGCTTGTAGGTGGAGAATCAGGTAATCTCTGGGTAGGATCATCATCCCAGTTTTCCCAGAACTGCCTCAGTTTTATCCATGAAATTTATCACTATCAGTGATAGTTGGTCAACCTATCTCCAGGTTTCATTTAGAAAACTTCTTTGCAGTGATGCTTCAGTTACTGCCAAGGAGGACAACTTCCTCTCTCTCATCACCTACACACACACACACACACACACACATGCACACACACACACACACACACACGCACACACCCAAGAACTTCTCTATTGGTTTGAATGCTATGGCCAATGTCTTATGAAAAGACAGTGATCAAGGAAAACTATAATTCATTAATTTATTCAACACTGTTATGTACTAATCATATACCAAGTACTATGTAAGGCACAGAGTGTACTAGGACAAATGAGACATGAACCCTGATTTCAAAATGTTCTCGGTTAATTTGGGAAGAGAGATTATATAAATAATAAAGTGTGGTAAGTGGGAAATTGCTGAGAAGTGAGATGGCTCCTTTATAAAATTTCATCTTTAACCAGTGCTCAGTATTCTGGAAAACAAGTGGATGGAATCAGTCAGAGTCAAGAAATGTTCCAGGAGTCCTGACTCCATGTCCTCAGTGTGCCTCTACCAGGAAACACGTAAATAAGTACCAGAAAGTGTCTCAAAATGAAAGTGACACTCCAAGGAACCCGTGTCTAGCATAGCCACGTGTCTCTCTGGTAGGGCTGTGCTGAGCTGTCATAGGGCCTGGGAAAATCATGCAGATAGAGGGTCTTCCCATTTTTTCCATGAACAATACTTCAAGTACTGATTAAAATCCGTT